AAGGCAGAGAATGCAATAACCACTCGAACACGTAACTATAAACTCTTATGAGTGCTACGCAGGCAGTGCTTAGAGTACTTAAAAAGTGTGTAGCTGGCCACTTTGTCTGGCCTGTGGGTCTCAGGAAAGGCCTCTGAATGCCTGGTATTTACGTTGAAGTCTGAAATGTCCCTTTTCAAAGAGTGAAGGAAGATTTTTCTAGGAAAAAGAAACAGCAGAAACAATGACGTGTGCAATGAGAGAGAGCAGACCCTGCTCAGGGAATGGCCAAAGGTTCTGTTCCAGGGAAGAAATTAATTTCACAGGTAACAGTGTGGCAGGACATGCGTGCAGTAGCCTGAAGCCCAGATGATCAGGTGGTTCTTGAGGATGGGGGTCATACAGAGCAGGACTTGGCCAAACTCCCCAACGGAGAGAACATGGTCCCTGTCACAACCACTTGGCTGCTGTTGTGGTGCAAAAGCAGCCAGAGATGATAATGTGAACAAGGGGGTATGGCCATGTGCCAATAAAACTTTATTTTCAAAAGCAGAGAACAGACCTGCTTTGGCTCTTGGACCAGAGTTTGTAGAACCTGGCTATGGAGGATTTCCACGTGTCCCTCATCTGTCCTGCTACAGAGTTGAGCCTAGAGAGGGTAACTGTCTACTGTAAAACCAAGCAAATAATTAAATCTAGTCCTTGGCCTTTTAGGGTTTCCAATGTAAACACAACATAGGAAGACAAAGAGGAACAGTCACGGTCTGTCCTTAGAGCAAAAATACTAATCCTTACTCATCTCCACTATATACAAATCCACCTAAGCAACCCCTGCTTTCTGGCAGAGGAGATACTGCTGCAGTATCAAAAGCCAAAGATAATAAAGTCGCTATTGCAATAAAAATGGGAGAACTCGGGGGAAGGCGGCAGGGGTGGGAGATCGGTGGGCTGATGGCTCATTAGCCGCAGAGGCTGCTTCCGTCCTCACCTGGTCTGTCTTCTGTGGTTTGTGCTCTGCTTTTCCGAGCAGCTTCTGGCTGGCTTGTTCTGTTAAAAAGAGCAATGAGGAAAGCCCTTGCACTTCAGGCATCTCAGAGAAACAAAGAAGGTCAAACTGAGTCTCCTTATTCGTTGTTATAGCAACAAAGAAAATATTGTAGAGGCAGTGAAAATGCCACGCGGGAGCCCACTCCCGGAGCTACAATCACAGCACATCTTCCTTTCTTTAACCACGCACAGAATCACATGTGCACCTGAGTGCCAGCATTGCCATGTCTCCTGGCCAGGGAAGCGTCTCAGGCTGCTGGAATAGGCAGCTCGCGTGGCTCTTCCAGCTGATTTTCCGTGGGTGTCTTGGGTGGAAACACCTTGCCGATTGCCTGCAGGTGCAAAGCCTCACCGGATGGGTACTCTCTCCATTCTGTTTCCTCGAGCTTTCTTAAAATGGGATTTTATACCATTTACCACCTGGGAATTACCTAGAGACCCTGATTGAAAATGTAGATTCATGGGCTTTGCCCCCAGATCCATTGAATGAGCATCTTTTGCCAACATTTGAGAACTCCTAGCTTAGAGAGTACAGTGTGGCAATGGCACTTTATACAGCACGGACACAGGCAAACGATGAGCACGGTCCCTCTTTGTCTGAATCAAATCACGATAGGTTGATCCAGTGAGTTTGCATTGAAATCAGCCTACTGTTGACTTTCATCAGAGGATGGGTAGCCTTCCCTCTATCCACTATTCAATCGACAGAACTTAAAACCTCAATATGAAAGGGAAATGTCGTTTGCCGTTTTAATGGAAATCTAAAAACTGATGTATTTTTTTTCTCTGGGACTAAAGGGAAAAGGATATTCTTTGTTAGTGATTGGTACACTATTACCCCTCTCAAAGTCAAGACTGTCCCAAAATGAAATAACAAAACGTCTCTTTATACAAAGCTATGTTCTCTTTAGGTTTTTCTGATTCCTGAGCAGTTGGCTTAACCACTTTGAGCCCTTGGATGAGGCATGTGAAGGCAGGCCCACTGCTTTTGTGTTACCACACACCCCAGCAAGCCCACGTACAACACCGATGAAAGAATAAATTTCAGAAATTCAAACAGCCTTACTCAAGAGAGCATTTTAATTACTGCATTATTCTGCCCTAAACTGGGAGCCCTTGGATGAGGCATGTGAAGGCAGGCCCACTGCTTTTGTGTTACCACACACCCCAGCACGCCCACATACAACACCGATGAAAGAATAAATTTCAGAAATTCAAACAGCTTTACTCAAGAGAGCATTTTAATTACTGCATTATTCTGCCCTAAACTGGGTAGAAGATCTAACACCTTGGGCCGAGCATGCAAAGCAGACTAAGAGATTTACTCCCTCCCTCTCCCTCACCTCCTGCCAGAAGAAGGTCACTTTGCTCAACATACACTTAAAACAGAACCATCAATATGTCTAAGAAAAATTCTGTAGGTTAGCCTGCAGATTCCAGTTTATTTGCAAGGTTGGCATGCATGCTTTAGAATTTAGTTTGAATGATGTACAAATGCACCTCAGCTTTGAAAAACTTCCCTCTTTCTCAGACTTGTATGTTCACCACTTGACTTAGTGATTTAAAGAAACAAAAACTAAAATCATATTAAATCTTCATTCCCCTTTTTTAAATCCAGAAATTAAAGTGTTTAAATTTCTCATGGTTTCTACCTAAAAACCTGAAACTCATCAAAGATAGTATTTGAGGATCTTATTTTCTAAAGCAAGGCAGGGGCTGTGGAAAATAACAGCGTGGGTGAATTCAGCCTGCCACTTGTTTTGTGAATAAAGTTTTACTGAAAACAGTCATGCCTGTGTGTTTATGTATCGTCTATGGCTGCTTTTGCACTAGAACACAACAAAGACCATATAACCCACAAAGCCTAAAATATTTCCATTCTGACCCTTTATCGGAAAAGTCTGCACTCCCCTGAGGCAGCCTGTCATAGGGATTTATAAAGCAGGCTCAAGAATCAGATTGCCTGGGTTCAAATGTGAGTCTACCACTTAGTAGGTAAGAGATTTGGGGCATATTAATTAGATTATTTAGACTCCTTGAGGCTCAGTTTCCTCATCTGTGAAAGGGGGATAATAATCATACTTACCTCATGGAGTATTGTGTGGATTAAATAAGATAATACAGCTAAAGCACTTAGAAGCTGTTAGGATAATCTAACAGAACTCTCTTTTCTGTCCATATGTTTCTTTTGTTAAAAATCTGAAAAGAAGTCCTCACTTGTAGTTAACTATGTTGAGTAACATTTCTTTGCACAGGCATTAGCTTGAGATTTGCTTCAACAATTTCGACTTCATTAAAATTATAATTATTTCTTTAATTCCATTTCCTTTATCTGCTTCTTCAACATAATCCCCGTGTTGACTGCCAAGGCCCTGGGAATCAAGGAGAATCTCTTATGAGACAGTCTTAGAAGGGAAAGAAAATAAAATAAGACCCTGATGGAGTCAGGAAAATGAACAGTGAGGGAATTATCAAATGTGCATGGTGAACCAAAGTTTTAAAAAAATAAAAAATGAATATAGCTGGGAGAAGTAGGATGAGTAAAAACAATATAAAAGGTAGCTACAGAAAACCCAGAGAGAGAGCACAAATGTATTCTAGTGCAGCCATTAGCACTAAACCATTTACGTATCTCTAATCCACTCATTAATTGTTAGGTGAATTCAATACTCCTTTCCCCGGTGTTTCTCAGCCACTGAGAAAAACACATCCTGACCCACCAGTGTCCTTGGAAATCCCAGCTAACTCAGACCAAGGCATTTAGATTGGCACACTTGGATTTTAGCAGCACCTTTGGGATATAATTGTGGTGGATCTCCATTTTGAAAAATTATGCACTTTTTGGAAGAAGCACAAATAAAAATAAAGCTTTTCCTGGCCCTTTCTTGGGCCTTCGTAAAATTTTCTTTTTTTCCCCAGAAACTATAAGAAATTATTTTCTGGTAAAAAATAATGCTTTTGGAAGGGCCTAGCCCAGTGCCTGGCACAGAGAAAGTATATGACCAATGTTAATTTTTCTCCCCTTGAAGAACTCCATCCCAAGGATATGAGTTTATTCCTCTATCTATTCATTCAACACGTATTTATCTATCACCACCTATGTGGCAGGCACAGTTCTAGGGCCAGGGAATTAGGCTTGCCAGATTTAGCAAAGAAAAATACAGACCATCCCTGTAAATTTGCATTTAAGATATAAAATGAATATTTTTAAGAAATATAATCCTGGGGCCGGCCCCGTGGCTCACTCGGGAGAGTGCGGCACTGGTAGTGCTGAGGCCATGGGTTCGGATCCTATATAGGGATGGCCGGTGCGCTCACTGGCTGAGCGTGGTACAGACAACACCATGCTGAGGGTCACGATCCCCTTACTGGTCAAAAAAAAAAAAAAGAAAAAGAAATATAATCCTGTACTGTGAATTATCTGGAACACACTTATACTCTATAACTATGCCTTGTTTAGCTGACATTCAAATTTAATTGGGTATCCTGTATTTTACCTGGCAGCCCTACTACCGGACATAGTGTAGTGAACAAGACAGACACGATCCCTTGATCTGTCCCTTTCTAGGATCTCTAACCTCAGGTGCTCACAAGATTCAATCCCCATCTGGCACTTCACTGAGGAAGCCCGGGGAACAGAGTGACCTTCTCTTTAGAATTCCCATTTAGCAGGTGTCACTCTGTATTATATTTGCAACCTTATATCCTTGTAGTGCTCTGGAATTAAGGTCCTCGGCAACAGGTCCTGTGTCTTATCTCTATATCCTCGGACTCTAGCACAGCACCTATAACTAGCAGATAACCAGTACAGGCCAGCTTAAAGAATAAGTGGGTGAATGCATAAAAGGCTGGATTTATGTCAAACATGATGCAGAAAAGAACCATGCTCACAGCTCATAAGGAAAATTCTCACGCAACCTTCTGAAATATTAAGGATATAGAGAAAACCATGTTGTCAGAATCCAAACACAAAATGGGTGAAGAATGATCTTTTATTTTAAAATCCTTTAAGAGGGAACTCCAAACAAAATAAAGTCCTTAAAAAAGAGGGGGCAGGGGTGAGGAGAACGCATGAGGGAGAAACAGTAACCTGCAAACAACACAAAGGGTCCATTGAAAGGATAGTTCTGAACATAATAGGTAGGAGTGGGTCAAAGCACTGATTTAACTAATTGGTAATATAATCAAATATGATTTCCAGTAGTTAACCAGAACCACAGTATTAATAACTAAGGAATAGGTTGTAAACAAATGACAAATAATTAAGAGCCATTTTATTGTCAATACTGACCGCCATACAATTGAAACACGCAGAAGCAAAATCACAAGAATCCACAAAAGGACAGATTCAGAGAAATGCAAGGGACATGGTATCTACAATAGAAAATCATTCTGTGGCATTGATTCTTTTCTGTCCAGCTGTAAAAGAGGGAACAAAAAGTCTATATCTATACAGCCTGTTTCAATTATGCTAAAAATTAAAAAGAAAAAAAAGAAAAAGAGAAGAAAAATGTTGTATTGCAGAATTCCCCAATGACCACACAATTAGCAGGACTTTAAGCTCTTTCTCTTTGTCCTCGTCTCCCTTGCTGTCATTCTGTGACCTCCCGGGTAGATCTGTGGCTGGCACATCACAAGTCGTTAACAACTCCTGGCAGTTCCTGTCAGTGCTCAGATCGGTAGGCAGGAAAAGTCTCTGTTCGATGAAGCTTCAGAGGGCTGGCAACATCTTTTCCAAAAAGAATTTAAAAGCAACAGTTATATTTCAAGAAAGCCCACAATTGAATTAGCCAGTAACAAGTTTCTATGTAAAATAAATAAATAACATACTCATGACATAAGATTTTTTCCAAGTGATATGCAAATAAGTCATGAGCCATTGCATGATTAACATATCACTTGCATGTAGCTTTTGTCCTGAGCTATGGTCAGTCTATTAGCACCTTGATTTTTCATCTGC